AAAGAATGGCAGAAATAATAGATGAAACAAGAAAGAAACCTTACCCGTAAACGTGTCAGAACCTCATCACGTGCTTGTAACTCGCCTTCCAAATACGAGAGAAGTTTCAGGAGTTCGTCTCGAGTGAAATCGTCTGGATCCTGTGGTGAGTCGTCGGCATCTCGTCGTGGTTCAATCAAGAGATTCTTTGACGTGGCATGATTGTAATCGTCGCCGAAGTTGAAGCCGAGATTCATCGCTATGGAGCCGCATCGGCGATTAACATGGCTCGCCCACTATAACAATGCTTCATTATAAGTATTTTAGGAAAAGAGCATCGACAAACGTCACAAGACTTCGCTAGTTGTCGTCTTCGTCGTTTACTTGAGCAACCCGAAAGGTTTACAAGCACATAGAAAACGAAATAATGAAACAGAAGTGACAACAGAAAAAAAGATGGTATCGTGTAATCACCCATTTACCTACAAGGGTCACAGCACAAACGCAATGTAAACACTGTAAAATACGATAGCCTGTCAGTAACAGAAGGAAAAGAAGGGAGGAAAAAGGGAAAAGAGATAAAAAGAGAAGAAAAAAAAAAACGAAAAAGAGATAGTTCATCACGAAGAAATTCAGGGATTACTTGAGAACTCGACATATGTATAAATTACTTATATATATGCACACATATACATACATGCGTTTGTATACATCTATACACGCATATACAAATATATATATGTATATACATATGTGATATACATATATATGTACGTGTGTGGACGCACATACACTCGTATGTATATTAACACACACGTGTATACATATACATGTATGTGTATGTGTGTGTGTGTGCCAGTGCATGTACGTATATATGTGTATCTGTGCACATATACATGATCTTCGTGATTATAAGGGAACAAATGGAAAATCGATCTGATCCGCTGGACAGGTACTTTTCATGAAAGTGTTGGTAACCATTGGAAAGCTGAGACTTAAAGCTACAGCCCCACGTCGCCGGTATTCCAGAACACTTCTTTGTAACGCTGTGATCTCCACACGAAACTAACGCATAATTCTCGCCAAGCAGAGCAGAGCTTTCTTTGGACTGTTAGTAGTCATAAGAAAGCGTGATATTTCCTGATTCTAGGGATGTGCTTATTTTCTGTACGATTTAACAGAGAAAAATAAGATCGGGTTTTCTATTTTTAGTATCGCTGTTTACCGGATATTCGATAAGGCGACGGCCGCGGCAGGGGAGGGACGAGGTGGGACGATCGACATATTGTCATTCAATTGGCAATTTTTCCTCTACTTCGAAAGTAACTACACATAAAACGATTGACTCAAATACTACAAAAATTTCTCTACAGATTGATATGCTTATCACCTTCCAGGGAATTATATGCATGATAAAAATGAAGGCTAAAGGCGAGTGTGAAACATAATCTTTGATCTGGATGCTACAGCGTTACAAAGGGTGTTTTGAAAAACCGGCGAAGTGGGGCTGTAGCCTCAAGTCTCGGATTTCGAGTGGTTACTAATACTCGAAAAGGTGAGCACGGAGCGGATGTTCCTGGTCCTCTTCACTATATCTTCGACGCTGTTAAACGAAGACCCAAGCTGCTCGTTTCCTCCTGCTCAATTCTAGCTAGGTCGTTCATCATGTTGATTTCCCGACATAGATAGACGTAACTGAAGCATTCGGAGATTGTCGTTCCGCTAAGCGTGAATGGGGCATTCGAAACCCATCCGTTCCTCATAAACATCGTTTTCGTTAGATTCAGTTGAAGACTGGTCTTTCCACAGGTGTTATCGAAATCGGTCAACATTCGTCCCGCTCGGCTGATGCTTGGTGTTATGAGAACGATATCATCAGCAAAGCGAAGATGGTTTAATTGTCGACCACCAATTTTCAGTCTCATATCCGTGCCCACCTTTTCGACTCGACGATTATCCCTGTCCTAACGTAAGCAGCAGAAACCTGGTCGCCACGTAAGCAGAATGAGCGACCCGTTATTGAACGCAGTCGAAAAGTCGATGCTAGGAGTATCCCGTATCTCGCAAGTGAGAGAAAGGATCCGAAGTTGCGTTCTACGACAAGGATCGCAGATCAGAGACAGCGTTCGACACGCCAGGTTATCGAAAATGAAGTGGGTCGGACACGTGATGCGCCTCAACGACAACCGATGGACGAGTGCCGTTACCTCTGGATTCCACAGGACACCGGGCGCTCTACAAGAAGACCACCGCACTCATTGGTTTGATTTCTTCACGAAAGACATAGAAGAAAGATATGATGCTCAGCGAATCCCTAGGGCGAGTAGGACCCACTGGGCTACCCTTGCACGCAAAAGGAAATATTGGAAGTGTTGCTGGTGCCAGCTAAAGTCACTCGACGATCAACGGGATGACAGGAGATACAGGTTATACTAATACTCATGTGAAAAGTTCTTTTCCAGCGAATGAGATCGGTTTTTCATTTGTTCCCTCTTAATCAGAAGAAACCCCTAAAAATGCGCAGTATCAACGAAAAAAAATCGAGTTTCACACTCGGTGCGAAGTTTTTGCTCCGCCTAGGTGTGTAAATGGCAGCCTACGGGGGGAGGGGATTTCGCAACATCCGCAACTGACGACACCAGACCCGATAGGGTCTGTGGATAGTCCTTCAACCCTTCAAGGATCATGAGGGTCATTCTGCTTCTCACCGCGCGACGTTAAATCCCACTTAGATACTGTAATGGCGGCGTCGCGTCTCGTGGGAAGGCAGGCAGACAGCCAGACATGCTTGCACGGATAATGGGGCGTACGTCTCGTGGGAAAGCGACGCCTTGACGCCGTCTGCCTATCGACGCTGGTCCTCAAAAGATCAACAGATCCTCACTGGTTATCGGAGAGCATAACTCTAGATGATTCTGAAAATAAGTCTGCGTTTTGAAAAGGTCTTCGTATGGCGCTGGAAAAGCGGGAAAAGACCACGTTTCGTAGTCTTGTGCTTAAGCTTTGGCTTAATAGCGGGTCTACTTGGCAAATGGAATGAACATATTGGCCTAAACTCGTAGAACGACAGGACAAAGTTCCTTTTCCAATTCTAATACGGAAAACTTAGAAATTTCCAGGAAACAGAGAGAAAAATTTTAAATAGATAACGAAGATACGCGCAAATGCGCACCGGGTGTGAGACTCACTTTTGTTTTTGCTGCTACAGCGCAATAAATAGGTATTTTCAGATACTAAGCACACTATTCAAATCATAGCTTTTGTTTCGAGTGTTTTCTTATGACCACAGCTCAAATTTCAATATGCCTGGTAATCATTTTTGAGCCACGCATGTCAGTGATCTGTCAAAGAGGGCTGACACACTGAGAGTTACTGGAGCACCCACATAGGATTGGCAAAAAACGAGAAAGGGTAAGTGCCCGACTGACGAAATCGCAAGATCGAATCACGTGTATCGGGCTCTATAAGTCAGCCCTCTTCAATAGACCATTGACATGCATGGCTCAAAAAATGATTACGAGGCATATTGACTATTTGAATCGTCGGAATTTGAGCTTTTGAATGACTACTAAAAGTCTGCGGAAATAGCCGAATGGCAATGTTCCCAACTGGCTGGAAAATGAACTGTAATAACGTCAAAATAGCGAAAAAAAGCCCAAAAACATTTGAATAATCATTATTTCTTTAATGGAATGAAAAAAAACACCACCTACCTCTTGGTAAGTGCATTTCCTGAACAAAATAAAAAAGAAAACGAACCGGAAAAGAAACAGGAATTTTTTTCCTTCCTTTAGAAAACTGAGTTTGAAAATAGCCTAACGCTTGTTGCTATTGACTCTCATCAAAGGTATTCTACAAGTAAATTATGGTAGAAAGTACGAAGGGATGAGAACAATGCTTTTGAGCGACGTATTGATTTGAAGAAAATGACTTACGTTTTCATTCGGTATTACCAGTCAATAAGATAATCATCGCTAATCGGTAACCCTTTCGGAACGGCATGTCCCCAAAACGATACGCGATTTTTCCGCGGAGAGGGGGGGGGGGGGCGCTGGAAAAAACCTTTTCATCAGAGTTTTAGTGATTATTCAAAAACTTAAATCTTGGCGAAGTCAATAATTTGTTTGGTTTTTTATGAACTTATCTTATCGCGTTGTAGCAGCGAGAATAAACTTATGTTTGACATTTGGTTTGCTTTGCTTACTCGGCTGGGGTTTGTGGACGACTCTTAGCGGAACTCTTGATAGTCACTCGATAGATCAAATCTCGACAATTTTGACACTAAGACTGGCTCCCAGAAAAGTTTTCATAAGCGCCGTAAGAGCAAAAAGTACATTACGTTTCACATTCAAAGTTTCCTTCATAAATAAAAGTTATACATGCACGAAAAGCATATAACCATGTAAAGAAAATCAAGCAATATCAAAATAATATAAAAAAATCTGAAATTTCCTTGAAAAGGGGAGAAAAACTCTGAATAAATGACAAAAATTGCACGGCGCCGCTTGCGAAACGCGCTGCGCGATCGATCCACTGCCGTCCCGAAAGGGTCGAGGCAATAGTACAAAGTTGTGAGAGAGATCTTTAATCGGCTAACTTTGACGCTTTTCGACTCAAATCTTCCTCCAAGGGGTACCGGCTTCTCGAACGAAGGCGAAGATTGCTACAGAGATAACGAACGTCTAATCTAGACGTATTGGCCGAATAGACCAAATCTAGCGACCTCGTGGTACTTGCTCAATTGAAAATCAACATTTCCTGCAGACTTCTTCGGATTTTCCAGCTGAAGAGAAGTATTCATTCGACTTTTAGTTGACCAACGTTGTTTCCACGTCTCTGGCTTCGTCAGAGCCAATTCAGAAGCTTCGTTTTCTTCAAATCAACCGCCAACTGATTCAATCGGGGCTCTGATGAAGATGAAGAACGTTGATTTGTTAGCCAAATATCGATTTATGACCGCCGTGCTATGACTCAATGAACAAGGACAACATTCAATGACGTAGAGAGATGTGGAAAGTTTCTGCGCCAGGCGGGGATCGAACCCGCACGTCACCCTATCCAAGGCGCGTGCACTAACCCGTTGCACCATTCTTTCCACGCCAGATAGCACATCACTCAACATCATTAGCTGAATCATACCATGCTAAAAGCGGTGAAATTTTGAAAAAAATTCTGTTTGATTACCAAAGAATACATTATTGATTGTTCAGCCAAAATTAGGGGATAGTCAGTTTCAAATTATTACCATTTAATGAAATAATTCAAATTGCAAATTAGCGCAGAAAAAAAAGAAATAAGGGGACCATCGAGATAGAAACTGACGGAACCCCCTCCCCCCTCCCCGTGGAAGAGATGTCGAAATTCAGGATTTCGCACAAAACGAAGCCGCCACCGACGACGAGACCCGCGCCCAATCGTCATAGCGCGCCCTTTAAATGGGGGCATGCGCCGCTTCTGAGAGTCGAACTCCTATCTAGCATTTGACTCTTGTCTAGTTTCACTTCCACTGCGCTCAGCGTTAATTGAAATAAACGATGAAGCTCTCGGCTTGGTCAACCACTAGGGGATGCGCCATGCATTCGACTCCATTCGTAGCGTCGTTCCACGGTGATTGGATGCATATCTCGCCTTTACAATGCCTCGCGGTGATCCGCCGATGTATCAAGTCAGCACTGCTAACCTTCCAGGCAAGTCTGGAAGCAAGTCAGCGACCCCTGAGGAACGAAAGGCCTGGTGAGCCTCGGGCACGGAATCGAACCATTGGCCAGGTGTGCGTGGCGGGGCGCCTCCAACCACTACGTTACACGCGCTCTGCGCTCAAAGTCCTGTGGTACCGAAGCATGTCCTCGATTTTACGGATTGCAAATAGTTTCTCGAGTCTAAGAACCTCTTCGAGCGGCGCGTCAGTCAAGAGGATTCGACTCAATACGACTACAAAAACCCACATCCAGGCGGCGAACCACTGAAAACCGTCAACTGAATAAGTCGGCTCTGAAGAAGACGACGACATCGAAACGTTTGCAGAAACACCCTCTTGTGAGCCAAAAACCTTCTTAAAAAAGCAATAATGGTAGCAAAGTGGCAGCCTTTCGTGGCGTAGTGGCAGCATAGGCCCCCCGTATGGGTGAAACTCGAGTTCGACGCCCACCTGATGTTGGAACTTTCGGATACTGGTCAGTATCCTTCGATACATATATTTATATATATGTATATATATACATATATATGCATACATATACATATATGTATATAATTTTGAGATCATAACACTATTACAAGGGGAGCGCCATGGCCGTGTGGTTGTAATGCTCGTCGCGGAGCGCGTGAAGCCGAGCTCAACCTCTCAACTCTCTCGGGCTGTCAACAGCAATGCGCTATGGAACGCCACACCAAAGCTATACGCAAGATCACAAGGAGATTCGCTCAACCAGTATTCAAAAACGTTCAAGAGGAAGACGAAACTACGAAGTGAATGCTGGAAGTTACGGGATGCGCACAGTGAAGGGTGTGAAAACGGATCAGTAAAGTGCCTAAGGTAAAGGAGAACTCTGCTATAAATGCGATGGAATTTCTTAGAGATTGAAGTACTGATTATTCGCGGCGATGTCAAGCGAAGGTTGTTAGTAGAATATCACTGGTGACAATGTGACGGCAGTGGAGAGTCGTGGTTCCATCAATTATCTCGAAGAATAGCGCTCACACGTCAACCTGAGGCAATCTGCGCCGAGAAGGACAACTACGAGATGGACGTCAAGCTCATTGAACGCAAGAAGCACTGCGCCAGACCAGAGCTGCTGAGGATGAGACGACACTGGTGATATACACGAACAAATGCGAGAGCCTTAATTCCCACCTGGAACACAAGATCAAACGCATCCGAGGCACACGCAAGCACTACGTGGCCGGGTACATCGCTGAAGCACGCTGGAGAATGAACATCCGTAGAGGCAATAAGGACCACATCAAGAGCTTCTTCAGCCAAATCACCTCGCTGTCCGCCGACGAACTCGGGAGCCAGATAACGAAAATAGTGAGGATGCTCACTGACGGGACCACGACTCTCCACAAGGGTCACCATTGTTGAAGTGAAGCGCCGGAGTCAGAATGATTCAGACCCAGGAAGACCCGCGTTACAGAAACGATAAGGCCTGACGACAATTGCGTCACTTCTTTTTCAATGATGCCGCAACTAGAAACCCATAAATCTGGACATATCTTTACTGTACTACTTTATAGTTGAGGCAGAGTGGCATAGTGGTTAGTGATGCGGTGTATCAGAAGCAGACGCTGATTCCATCTCCTCCCTCAAACAACCTCTTGCAATCAATCAAGTGTACGGCATAACCTGGCTACTGTTAGTAATACAAGGAGACTCATCTGGACCAGCATCCTACGACATTCATTAGAAAACGAAATTTATGAGAACTCTTTACTATACTGCCTTTTATTGGTATCATGATTCTGTGACGAAACCTTCAATCGTATATGTATTTAACAGACTTAGTCCGTTGAACCCTGGTTTCTAGCACTCAGATAGGAAGAAATAGTGGCATCAAAGCGATAGTTTCGGTGGTGCAGTGGTAGCACGCGCCATCGCTAAGGGTGAAACGCGAGTTCAATTCCCGTTTGCGGTCGAAAGTTCTGCATGTAACTCAACATTCTTGGATATGTGATCACTAAAAAGAACGTTGGCTAGATAATACATGTGAAAGTGCAACCGTTCCTGTACACATGGTTTTGGTGTGCACGTAGGAAATGTGTAATTCTGGGCAAAATGTTGATCTCTTTGGAATTATATTCATTATCACAAGCCGTAGATCAACATTCCTGTATTTGCCATGGTGGATATTGAACATGGCATTTATTGCGGAACTGTGCGTCGAGGTCTCGTGGTGTAGTGGTTATCACATCTGTCTAACACACAGAAGGTCGGCGGTTCGAGCCCGCCCGAGATCATCTATTTTGAAATCACTTTTGCTGAATTGGTTGCAATAAGTGGCACTTGTTGTATATATCAAACAGTGAAAACTGTTATATCTTTGCGCTGCAACGTAGTAAGAATGGTGGCAAAACAGGCGATGGTAGTGCAACGAGTTAGAGCACGTGCTTCCAGATGGAGTGAAATGCGGGTTCGAGTCCTGCCTGACGCAGAAGTTTAGCAAATCACTCTGCATCATTGGGTACATCCTATTTTTTTCTCGATATTAAACCTGTAGCACTGGTTGTTGAGAACTAGGTTGATATTTTTTTTTGGCTAACATTTCGATGAGTTTCGTCTTCTTCAGAGTCGATTTTTGAATCGACTGGGCAGTGCCTATCGAAAAAAGTTTCACTCCAATGAAATGAAAGCGAAGATTTAGAATGAGAACGAACGACGATGTACGATCGACTCGAATTATCTTCTGCAAAGAAGACGAAATGCGTCGAAACGTTCACCGGATAAAAATTTATATTAACAACCTAGTGCTACATGATTAATCGACAAAGGAAATTTGATGGATTGGTCATGAGTCGTTTTGGAAGGAAAATCGGTTCAATATATATCATGGCACGCTGTGGTAGCGTGTCTATTACATCGGAGAAGAATTGGTTCTTGAAACATGCGATGATGAAAGTGTCGACGGCGTTGACGTTCTCGTTAAAAAGTTTAACCATGAGGAGCGATTAGTTTGTACATCCAACAACCCAGATTGGACAACTGCGGTTAAAACGATATGGTCCAATGCTGGCTTTTACCATCTTTGTGACTTTCGCGCAACATCGAGCTATGGTGATGACGAAGTCGAAGCGTTCTATATGAACCGCGAAAGCAAAAGTTGAACCTTAGAAGGACGCCTGAACAACGTCACATTAAGGATCACGAACTGGAATGGAACCAGCGAATTGAGAAGGTGTTTGAGTTTTTCATGGCACTTGAAACCATCCGTGGTAACTCACAATTCGTAAAGCCTCACTCTCAGCGGTTGATGCGGGAGTCTCCCAGTGGAAAAAGTAACGAAATATACGACATCTCAGTAAATCGAAGAGTACTTTTCCGTTGTCTGCACCCTCTTCCGAGCCCTTAGGGAGAACGCCTTTTTTGCTTAGGTTCAGCGTTTTGACGGTCGTTATATAGCTTAGATACGAGAATTTCAACGGTGTATCTTTCTGAATGGCCTTTTTATTGTGCTGTTCGTAATCGTATCGTATGCTACCATCAGTCATCTGTCAAAGGAAATTGTCTGGGATGATTTAAGCTGATATAATCACGTTCCAAGTTTCGGAAATACTGCCGTACGGCACACAATAAAGGGTGAAGCTCTCGGCGTTGAGCAGTCCCTGAGGAATGCGCCATGCAATCGTCTTCACTTTCTTGACTTCCTTTGAAGTGAAAAAATACATATTTGACCTTTAGAATGGCTCGCAGTGGCCTGCCGCTATATCGAGTTAGTGCTGCTTATCGTCGAGACAAGTCCGGACAACTATGATACCAATTTACCAGCCCCATAGGGATGGATGGCTTGGTGAGCCATGAGCGCGAGTTCCCACCGACAACCCACTGACGCGTGTGACGCAGAGCGTAATTGCGTCACATGCGCACAATATCTATTCGGAATGCAAATCCTGAACCTTTAAAGTCTAAATTTCCCTCTGAGGTACAGGAGATCAGAATCAAATCGAGATGTGACGATCGTGTAATGTGATGTACTCCGAAGGTAAAACGTGATTTAACTTTACCGTTGGGTAGCGCTAAAACGGCCATTTTAGAAATCAAGCCTGGGTTGAAATTAATGTTTCTCAAGGTAGCGACGAATAAAAAAACTTCAATAAAAGATCTTTAAGTGGCAAAAAATCTAAGCAAACACGACTGCAAGGCGAACTATACACTTCGAAGTTAAAACGTAATCTTTTTTTCTTCCTCAAGATATCAAAAAAAGCGGTTTATTTCTTTTAGACGGCACGGGATGGAGAAACGAGAAACATCGCTGCACAAAAACTTTTCATAAGATTGTTAGTGATGATTCGAAAGCTTAAATATCTAGCTGCTGCTCTACATGGCCGCTTTCTAAAAAAGCCTTCTTATAACGCTGAAGCAGAAAGGAAACATGTTTAATACACTCGTTTTTCTCGCAAAACAGAGCTCTTTCTTTGAACTATCAGTAAGTGTTCGACAACGTAAGTTGTAATGATTTTAACTCTGTGCTTATTTTCTGGAAAGATCGTTTCACTGCAGTGTAGCAGGAAAATTAAGCCTGAGTTTCACATATGCGACACACTTGTTTGGGTGGCTAATGTGTGGGTTGAGTGTCCACTAGCAGTGGATTTGATACGGCGTCCCGCAATCGGTCGATCGTCCGTTGGCGAGTTGCACATGTGAAGTGCAGTTTTTGTTATTTCTTTTGGAATTTTATCCCTGTTTCGAAAGAATTTCCAGATAAAAGTATGACTCTGATACTACAAGATTTCCACTACACGTTCATATGCTTCTCTGCTTAGCGAACTATTAGTGAAGCGGAAGGCAGGTGTAAAAGTTGGTTTTAGCGTGAATTTAAAAGCGTTTTCAAATGATTTTTTCGAAAAACCCACCACTTACAGCGCTAGCCACAGATTTAATCTGGTATCTCACATGGGTATATAGGCGATAGTGCTGGGACGTGTGTGGGTGGGGTGTGGGGAATAGCGGGAGTGGCGTTCTCCATCACACTCACTCGAACAGGAAGATCGCTGATGTGATGCGCGATCGAAAAAAACGTCGCTTATGAGTTCGAGTGAGATCTGGAGGCGGCAGCATTTGTCCGGGGCGTCTCACACTTTCTGTCTGTTTCGCGCGGTGGGTAGGAGGCAGCAACATGTGTGGCAGTGTGTGAGAGGTGTGCGTGTGCAGCGTGCTCACGTGTGCGCCCGAATAGCGTCACGTGTTCACTGCACAGTGTGTTGGTGCGCGTGAGTATGCAGCAGACGCTGTCGCGTCGGTATCGGGCAGATATGTCACTAGCGATTAGAATGACTTTGTGTGTGGACCAGTTGTCGCAGGGCCGCGGTCACTGTGTGAGAGTAGAGTCAGGTTGAATAGGAATCACACAACGGGGGGCGTAGGAGCCGTAGTAACACAACGATGCAGAGCGGGGATGAGGCCGACGGCGCGTCGCTGACGGTAAAGCGTGCTAGCGAGCGGAAGTGAAAACGACGGGCGCACACGCAGATTATCGGGCGCATGCCTTCTACGCGGGGCAAGAAGAGGGGATACAAAGCAAGCGAGTGCGAAAAAAAGATCAAAGGTGCGAGCAGAGGCAGCAACGGGAGAATGGCCCGAATGGGGAAGAGATTTCTAATTAGATAACGAGAGTCGCGCACTTCCGTGGTGGCTATTGAAATCGCTTAGCGCACTGCGACTCCAGAAACGCGCAAGTTTTGTTACTTATCTAGAAATTTTTCCTCTGTTTCCCGAAAAAAATTCTCTAAGGTTTTCTCAGTTCTCTGTTACGACACGAATTATGCTACCCGCACATATGCTTCTAATGTGCTTATTTCCCTTATGTGCGAAGAACACTCTGATAGTGGAGATAATTCCCTTTTCGCTCCTACAGCGCTCTTTGGAGATGTTTATTACACTTAAGTATACTTCTATAATCAAGAAAATTCACTCTATCAAGATGAAAGCCTTCACGATCCCTAACTGAGCGAACAAAGCACTTCAAGTGTGAAACATAATTCTATCTTCCCTCTTACAACACACTAAGAATGGTTTTTCAAAAATTAGATGTGAAATTGGGATCACCACAAATTTAAGCTATCGAATGATTGGCTAGTATAGATCACCTCTTGAGAAGGTTTAGGGGTAATAACTTTTTCCAACGAAGATCGCCGCGAAAGAATTGAAAAGATGTTCAGTTGTGTCACTATTAGTTGACTGGAAAATATATGCGACCTCATTTGTAGATAGTGAGCCGTCTAGAGCGCTGAAAAATATCGTGAGAAAGTTTTCATGCGCTTCTTTATCGTAAGCATATGCATAAGATATTGTTTGAATTCTACAAAAGTGGACGTGAGCTCTCAGAATCGTTTTTACGACGTACACTTTTCCAACTTTCTAACGATATGATTTCAGAAACGATTCTTTTTTTTAGATTTTAGATGTACATTAGCAAAAGCTATGGAGAATGCTTTCGTAACACAATGTCTTTGAGCATGGACAGAACATTTGATTTTGTTTTTGTCAGTGATGAAAGGTTTTCAAAATGCAAGGAGAGTGAGTACTTGAACTCACTCCTCTTTAAGCAAGAACTATAGCTATTGTGTTCTTATGCGCAGTGTATCTCTTAACTTCGAATCTTCATCGCTCGTTGCGAAAAGCATTCTGTGGGTTTCAAGGAATGTTAAATGAATGATTTATTGAAATTGAATTTACGTCATAATGGAAGCATATTGATAAAGAGAGCAATGTATGCATACTTCCTGGTTTTTATCGATATTCAAAACTGAGGTTATTAACAGAGGAGTAAATTATGATATCAAATCAACGGCATAGTCTCACCTATCCTCTGTGGTCATCCAATTTCTTTTGCTTAAAAAGTTAGACTTAGACTAAGACTCCTAAATTACAAGGTTGGAGCGAACTGAAGTCTCGCAAAGCTGTTGTTATTGGAGAAATTGTGAAT